AGCAAATTGTGACCCTAAACGATAGAGCCATTCTTTCACTATAATCAGAGTATGTCTTTTGATGAACAGATGTCAGAAGTGGGATTCGAAACCACGCCTCCAGAAGAGACTGCGACCTGAACGCAGCACCTTGGACCGCTCTGCCATTCTGACTGTCAAGTTCATTGTTATTACAATGTACTTTGTTCGTCATTAAAACCTGTTCTCAGTAGAGGTACAGAATTATTTGTAAAACGATCGTAAACGTTCACAGATTTGCCTTGCTTAAGATTTTTAAACTATGGATTTGTAGGAAATTGTGACCCTAAACAATAGAGCCATTCTTTAACTATTATCAGAAAACGTCCTTTGATGAACAGATGTCAGAAGTGGGATTCGAACCCACGCCTCCAGAAGAGACTGCGACCTGAACGCAGCGCCTTGGACCGCTCGGCCATTCTGACTGTCAAGTTCACTGTTATTACAATGTACTTTGTTTGTCATTAAAACCTGTTCTCAGTAGAGGTACAGAAAAATTTGAAAGACAGTCGTAAACATTCACAGATTTGCCTTGCTTAAGATTTTTAAACTTCGGATTCGTATCAAATTGTAACCCTAAACGATAGAGCCATTCTTTCACTATAATCAGAATATGTCTTTTGATGAACAGATGTCAGAAGTGGGATTTGAACCCACGCCTCCAGAAGAAACTGTGACCTGAACGTAACGCCTTGGACCGCTCGGCCATTCTGCCTGTCAAGTTCATTGTTATGACAAAGTCCTTTGTCGATCATTAAAACCTGTTCTCAGTAGAGGTAAAGAATAATTTGTAAGACGATTGTAAATGTTCAGAGATTTGCTTGGCTTAAGATTTTAAAACTATGGATTTGTAGCAAATTGTCACCCTAAAAGATAGAGCCATTCTTTCACTAAAATCAGAATATGTCTTTTGATGAAGAGATGTCAGAAGTGGGATTCAAACCCACGCCTCCAGAAGAGACTGCGACCTGAACGCAGCGCATTGGACCGCTCGGCCATTCTGACTGTCTAGTTCACTGTTATTACAATGTACTTTGTTTGTCATTAAAACCTGTTCTCAGTAGCGGTAAAGAAAAATTTGTAAGACAATCGTAAACATTCACAGATTTGCCTTGCTTAAGATTTTTAAACTTCGGATTTGTATCAAATTGTAACCCTAAACGATAGAGCCATTCTTTCACTATAATCAGAATATGACTTTTGATGAACAGATGTCAGAAGTGGGATTTGAACCCACGCCTCCAGAAGAAACTGTGACCTGAACGTAACGCCTTGGACCGCTCGGCCATTCTGACCCTCATGTCCATTGTTATGACAATGTACTTTGTTCGTCATTAAAACCTGTTCTCAGTAGAAGTATAGAATAATTTGTAAAACAATCGTAAACGTTCACAGATTTGCCTTGCTTAATATTTTTAAACTACGGATTTGTAGCAAATTGTGACCCTAAACGATAGAGCCATTCTTTCACTATAATCAGAAAAGAACATCTGATGAACAGATGTCAGTAGTGGGATTCGAACCCACGCCTCCAGAAGAGACTGCGACCTGAACGCAGCGCCTTGGACCGCTCGGCCATTATGACAGTCAAAATCAATGGTTTCATAATGTACTTTGTTGATCGTTAAAACCTGTTCTCAGTAGATGTAAAGAATAATTTGAAAGACGACCGTAAACGTTCACAGATTTGCCTTGCTAAAGATTTTTAACCTACGGATTCGTAGCAAACTGTGAGCCTAAACGATAGAGCCATCCTTTTACTATAATCAGAATATGTCTTTTGATGAACAGATGTCAGAAGTGGGATTCGAACCCATGCCTCCAGAAGAGAGTGCGACCTGAACGCAGCTCCTTGGACCCCTCGGCCATTCTGACTGTCAAGTTAATTGTTATTACAATGTACATTGTTCGTCATTAAAACCTGTTCTCATTAGAGGTACAGAAAAATTTGTAAGACAATCGTAAACATTCACAGATTTGCCTTGCTTAAGATTTTTAAACTTCGGATTCGTATCAAATTGTAACCCTAAACGATAGAGCCATTCTTTCACTATAATAAGAATATGTCTTTTGATGAACAGATGTCAGAAGTGGGATTTGAACCCACGCCTCCAGAAGAAACTGTGACCTGAACGTAACGCCTTGGACCGCTCGGCCATTCTGACTGTCAAGTTCATTGTTATGACAAAGTACTTTGTCGATCATTAAAACCTGTTCTCAGTAGAGGTAAAGAATAATTTGTAAGACGATTGTAAATGTTCAGAGATATGCCTGGCTTAAGATTTTAAAAATATTGATTTGTAGCAAATTGTCACCCTAAACGATAGAGCCATTATGTCACTATAATCAGAAAATATCCTTTGATGAACTGATGTCAGAAGTGGGATTCGAACCCACGCCTCTAGAAGAGACTGCGACCTAAACGCAGCGCCTTGGACCGCTCGGCCATTCTAACTCTCAAGTTCATTGATATTACAATGTACTTTGTTCGTCATTAAAACCTGTTCTCAGTAGAGGTACAGAATTATTTTTAAAAGGATCGTAAACATTCACAGATTTGCCTTGCTTAAGATTTTTAAACTATGGATTTGTAGCAAATTGTGACCCTAAACGATAGAGCCATTCTTTAACTACTATCAGAAAACGTCCTTTGATGAACATATGTCAGAAGTGGGATTCGAACCCACGCCTCCAGAAGAGACTGCGACCTGAATGCAGCGCCTTGGACCGCTCGGCCATTCTGACTGTCAAGTTCACTGTTATTACAATGTACTTTGTTCGTCATTAAAACCTGTTCTCAGTAGAGGTACAGAATTATTTGTAAAACGATCGTAAACGTTCACAGATTTGCCTTGCTTAAGATTTTTTAACTATGGTTTTGTAGCAAATTGTGACCCTAAACGATAGAGCCATTCTTTAACTATTATCAGAAAGCGTCCTTTGATGAACAGATGTCAGAAGTGGGATTCGAAAACACGCCTCCAGAAGAGACTGTGACCTGAATGCAGCGCCTTGGACCGCTCGGCCATTCTGACTCTCAAGTTTATTGTTAAGACAATGTACTTTGTTCGTCATTAAAACCTGTTCTCAGTAGAGGTACAGAATTTTTTGTAAAACGATCGTAAACGTTCACAGATTTGCCTTGCTTAAGATTTTTAAACTATGGATTTGTAGCAAATTGTGACCCTAAACGATAGAGCCATTCTTTAACTATTATCAGAAAACGTCCTTTGATTAACAGATGTCAGAAGTGGGATTCTAACCCACGCCTCCAGAAGAGACTGCGACCTAAACGCAGCGCCTTTGACCGCTCGGCCATTCTGACTGTCAAGTTCACTGTTATTACAATGTACTTTGTTTGTCATTAAAACCTGTTCTCAGTAGCGGTAAAGAAAAATTTGTAAGACAATCGTAAACATTCACAGATTTGCCTTGCTTAAGATTTTTAAACTTCGGATTCGTATCAAATTGTAACCCTAAACGATAGAGCCATTCTTTCACTAAAATCAGAATATGTCTTTTGATGAACAGATGTCAGAAGTGGGATTTGAACCCACGCCTCCAGAAGAAACTGTGACCTAAACGTAACGCCTTGGTCCGCTCGGCCATTCTGACCCTCAAGTCCATTGTTATGACAATGTACTTTGTTCGTCATTAAAACCTGTTCTCATTAGAAGTACAGAATTATTTGTAAAACGATCGTAAACGTTCACAGATTTGCCTTGCTTAATATTTTTAAACTACGGATTTGTAGCAAATTGTGACCCTAAACGATAGAGCCATTCTTTCACTATAATCAGAAAAGATCATCTGATGAACAGATGTCAGAAGTGGGATTCGAACCCACGCCTCCAGAAGAGACTGCGACCTGAACGCGGCGGCTTGGACCGCTCGGCCATTCTGACTGTCAAATTCATTGTTATCACAATGTACTTTGTTGATCGTTAAAACCTGTTCTCAGAAGATGTAAAGAATAATTTGTAAGACGACTGTAAACGTTCACAGATTTGCCTTGCTAAAGATTTTTAACCTACGGATTCGTAGCAAAGTGTGAGCCTAAACGATAGAGCCATCCTTTTACTATAATCAGAATATGTCTTTTAACGAACATTTGTCAGAAGTGGGATTCGAACCCACGCCTCCAGAAGAGACTGCGACCTGAACGCAGCGCCTTGGACCGCTCGGCCATTCTGACTGTCAAGTTCACTGTTATTACAATGTACTTTGTTCGTCATTAAAACCTGTTCTCAGTAGAGGTACATAATAATTTGTAAGACGATCGTAAACGTTCACAGATTTGCCTTGCTAAAGATTTTTAAACTACGGATTCGTAGCAAAGTGTGAGCCTAAACGATAGAGCCATTCTTTCACTATAATCAGAATATGTCTTTTGATGAACAGATGTCAGAAGTGGGATTCAAACCCACGCCTCCAGAAGAGACTGCGACCTGAACGCAGAGCCTTGGACCGCTCGGCCATTCTGACTGTCAAGTTCACTGTTATTACAATGTACTTTGTTCGTCATTAAAACCTGTTCTCAAGAGAGGTACAGAAAAATTTGTAAGACAGTCGTAAACATTCACAGATTTGCCTTGCTTAAGATTTTTAAACTTCGGATTCGTATCAAATTGTAACCCTACACGATAGAGCCATTCTTTCACTATAATCAGAATATGTCTTTTGATGAACAGATGTCAGAAGTGGGATTTGAACCCACGCCTCCAGAAAAAACTGTGACCTGAACGTAACGCCTTGGACCGCTCGGCCATTCTGACTGTCAAGTTCATTGTTATGACAAAGTACTTTGTCGATTATTAAAACCTGTTCTCAGTAGAGGTAAAGAATAATTTGTAAGACGATTGTAAATGTTCAGAGATTTGCCTGGCTTAAGATTTTAAAACTATGGATTTGTAGCAAATTGTCACCCTAAAAGATAGAGCCATTATTTCACTATAATCAGACAATATCCTTTGATGAACTGATGTCAGAAGTGGGATTCGAATCCACGCCTCCAGAAAAGACTGCGATTTAAACGCAGCGCCCTGGACCGCTCGGCCATTCTGACTCTCAACTTCATTGATATTACAATGTACTTTGTTCGTCATTAAAACCTGTTCTCATTAGAGGTACAGAAAAATTTGTAAGACAATCGTAAACATTCACAGATTTGCCTTGCTTAAGATTTTTAAACTTCGGATTCGTATCAAATTGTAACCCTAAACGATAGAGCCATTCTTTCACTATAATAAGAATATGTCTTTTGATGAACAGATGTCAGAAGTGGGATTTGAACCCACGCCTCCAGAAGAAACTGTGACCTGAACGTAACGCCTTGGACCGCTCGGCCATTCTGACTGTCAAGTTCATTGTTATGACAAAGTACTTTGTCGATCATTAAAACCTGTTCTCAGTAGAGGTAAAGAATAATTTGTAAGACGATTGTAAATGTTCAGAGATATGCCTGGCTTAAGATTTTAAAAATATTGATTTGTAGCAAATTGTCACCCTAAACGATAGAGCCATTATGTCACTATAATCAGAAAATATCCTTTGATGAACTGATGTCAGAAGTGGGATTCGAACCCACGCCTCTAGAAGAGACTGCGACCTAAACGCAGCGCCTTGGACCGCTCGGCCATTCTAACTCTCAAGTTCATTGATATTACAATGTACTTTGTTCGTCATTAAAACCTGTTCTCAGTAGAGGTACAGAATTATTTTTAAAAGGATCGTAAACATTCACAGATTTGCCTTGCTTAAGATTTTTAAACTATGGATTTGTAGCAAATTGTGACCCTAAACAATAGAGCCATTCTTTAACTACTATCAGAAAACGTCCTTTGATGAACATATGTCAGAAGTGGGATTCGAACCCACGCCTCCAGAAGAGACTGCGACCTGAATGCAGCGCCTTGGACCGCTCGGCCATTCTGACTGTCAAGTTCACTGTTATTACAATGTACTTTGTTCGTCATTAAAACCTGTTCTCAGTAGAGGTACAGAATTATTTGTAAAACGATCGTAAACGTTCACAGATTTGCCTTGCTTAAGATTTTTTAACTATGGTTTTGTAGCAAATTGTGACCCTAAACGATAGAGCCATTCTTTAACTATTATCAGAAAGCGTCCTTTGATGAACAGATGTCAGAAGTGGGATTCGAACGCACGCCTCCAGAAGAGACTGCGACCTGAATGCAGCGCCTTGGACCGCTCGGCCATTCTGACTCTCAAGTTTATTGTTAAGACAATGTACTTTGTTCGTCATTAAAACCTGTTCTCAGTAGAGGTACAGAATTTTTTGTAAAACGATCGTAAACGTTCACAGATTTGCCTTGCTTAAGATTTTTAAACTATGGATTTGTAGCAAATTGTGACCCTAAACGATAGAGCCATTCTTTAACTATTATCAGAAAACGTCCTTTGATTAACAGATGTCAGAAGTGGGATTCTAACCCACGCCTCCAGAAGAGACTGCGACCTGAACGCAGCGCCTTGGACCGCTCGGCCATTCTGACTGTCAAGTTCATTGTTAAGACAATGTACTTTGTTCGTCATTAAAACCTGTTCTCAGTAGAGGTACAGAATAATTTGTAAAACGATCGTAAACGTTCACAGATTTGCCTTGCTTAAGATTTTTAAACTACGGATTTGTAGCAAACTGTGACCCTAAACGATAGAGCCATTCTTTCACTATAATCAGAATATGTCTTTTGATGAACAGATGTCAGAAGTGGGATTCGAACCCACGCCTCCAGAAGAGACTGCGACCTGAATGCAGCGCCTTGGACCGCTCGGCCATTCTGACTCTCAAGTTCATTGTTATTACAATGTACTTTGTTGATCGTTAAAACATGTTCACAGTAGAGGTACATAATAATTTGTAAGACGATCGTAAACGTTCACAGATTTGCCTTGCTAAAGATTTTTAAACTACGGATTTGTAGCAAATTGTGACCCTAAACGATAGAGCCATTCTTTCACTATAATCAGAGTATGTCTTTTGATGAACAGATGTCAGAAGTGGGATTCGAAACCACGCCTCCAGAAGAGACTGCGACCTGAACGCAGCACCTTGGACCGCTCTGCCATTCTGACTGTCAAGTTCATTGTTATTACAATGTACTTTGTTCGTCATTAAAACCTGTTCTCAGTAGAGGTACAGAATTATTTGTAAAACGATCGTAAACGTTCACAGATTTGCCTTGCTTAAGATTTTTAAACTATGGATTTGTAGGAAATTGTGACCCTAAACAATAGAGCCATTCTTTAACTATTATCAGAAAACGTCCTTTGATGAACAGATGTCAGAAGTGGGATTCGAACCCACGCCTCCAGAAGAGACTGCGACCTGAACGCAGCGCCTTGGACCGCTCGGCCATTCTGACTGTCAAGTTCACTGTTATTACAATGTACTTTGTTTGTCATTAAAACCTGTTCTCAGTAGAGGTACAGAAAAATTTGAAAGACAGTCGTAAACATTCACAGATTTGCCTTGCTTAAGATTTTTAAACTTCGGATTCGTATCAAATTGTAACCCTAAACGATAGAGCCATTCTTTCACTATAATCAGAATATGTCTTTTGATGAACAGATGTCAGAAGTGGGATTTGAACCCACGCCTCCAGAAGAAACTGTGTCCTGAACGTAACGCCTTGGACCGCTCGGCCATTCTGCCTGTCAAGTTCATTGTTATGACAAAGTCCTTTGTCGATCATTAAAACCTGTTCTCAGTAGAGGTAAAGAATAATTTGTAAGACGATTGTAAATGTTCAGAGATTTGCTTGGCTTAAGATTTTAAAACTATGGATTTGTAGCAAATTGTCACCCTAAAAGATAGAGCCATTCTTTCACTAAAATCAGAATATGTCTTTTGATGAAGAGATGTCAGAAGTGGGATTCAAACCCACGCCTCCAGAAGAGACTGCGACCTGAACGCAGCGCATTGGACCGCTCGGCCATTCTGACTGTCTAGTTGACTGTTATTACAATGTACTTTGTTTGTCATTAAAACCTGTTCTCAGTAGCGGTAAAGAAAAATTTGTAAGACAATCGTAAACATTCACAGATTTGCCTTGCTTAAGATTTTTAAACTTCGGATTTGTATCAAATTGTAACCCTAAACGATAGAGCCATTCTTTCACTATAATCAGAATATGTCTTTTGATGAACAGATGTCAGAAGTGGGATTTGAACCCACGCCTCCAGAAAAAACTGTGACCTGAACGTAACGCCTTGGACCGCTCGGCCATTCTGACTGTCAAGTTCATTGTTATGACAAAGTACTTTGTCGATTATTAAAACCTGTTCTCAGTAGAGGTAAAGAATAATTTGTAAGACGATTGTAAATGTTCAGAGATTTGCCTGGCTTAAGATTTTAAAACTATGGATTTGTAGCAAATTGTCACCCTAAAAGATAGAGCCATTATTTCACTATAATCAGACAATATCCTTTGATGAACTGATGTCAGAAGTGGGATTCGAATACACGCCTCCAGAAAAGACTGCGATTTAAACGCAGCGCCCTGGACCGCTCGGCCATTCTGACTCTCAACTTCATTGATATTACAATGTACTTTGTTCGTCATTAAAACCTGTTCTCATTAGAGGTACAGAAAAATTTGTAAGACAATCGTAAACATTCACAGATTTGCCTTGCTTAAGATTTTTAAACTTCGGATTCGTATCAAATTGTAACCCTAAACGATAGAGCCATTCTTTCACTATAATAAGTATATGTCTTTTGATGAACAGATGTCAGAAGTGGGATTTGAACCCACGCCTCCAGAAGAAACTGTGACCTGAACGTAACGCCTTGGACCGCTCGGCCATTCTGACTGTCAAGTTCATTGTTATGACAAAGTACTTTGTCGATCATTAAAACCTGTTCTCAGTAGAGGTAAAGAATAATTTGTAAGACGATTGTAAATGTTCAGAGATATGCCTGGCTTAAGATTTTAAAAATATTGATTTGTAGCAAATTGTCACCCTAAACGATAGAGCCATTATGTCACTATAATCAGAAAATATCCTTTGATGAACTGATGTCAGAAGTGGGATTCGAACCCACGCCTCTAGAAGAGACTGCGACCTAAACGCAGCGCCTTGGACCGCTCGGCCATTCTAACTCTCAAGTTCATTGATATTACAATGTACTTTGTTCGTCATTAAAACCTGTTCTCAGTAGAGGTACAGAATTATTTTTAAAAGGATCGTAAACATTCACAGATTTGCCTTGCTTAAGATTTTTAAACTATGGATTTGTAGCAAATTGTGACCCTAAACGATAGAGCCATTCTTTAACTACTATCAGAAAACGTCCTTTGATGAACATATGTCAGAAGTGGGATTCGAACCCACGCCTCCAGAAGAGACTGCGACCTGAATGCAGCGCCTTGGACCGCTCGGCCATTCTGACTGTCAAGTTCACTGTTATTACAATGTACTTTGTTCGTCATTAAAACCTGTTCTCAGTAGAGGTACAGAATTATTTGTAAAACGATCGTAAACGTTCACAGATTTGCCTTGCTTAAGATTTTTTAACTATGGTTTTGTAGCAAATTGTGACCCTAAACGATAGAGCCATTCTTTAACTATTATCAGAAAGCGTCCTTTGATGAACAGATGTCAGAAGTGGGATTCGAAAACACGCCTCCAGAAGAGACTGCGACCTGAATGCAGCGCCTTGGACCGCTCGGCCATTCTGACTCTCAAGTTTATTGTTAAGACAATGTACTTTGTTCGTCATTAAAACCTGTTCTCAGTAGAGGTACAGAATTTTTTGTAAAACGATCGTAAACGTTCACAGATTTGCCTTGCTTAAGATTTTTAAACTATGGATTTGTAGCAAATTGTGACCCTAAATGATAGAGCCATTCTTTAACTATTATCAGAAAACGTCCTTTGATTAACAGATGTCAGAAGTGGGATTCTAACCCACGCCTCCAGAAGAGACTGCGACCTGAACTCAGCGCCTTGGACCGCTCGGCCATTCTGACTCTCAAGTTCATTGTTAAGACAATGTACTTTGTTCGTCATTAAAACCTGTTCTCAGTAGAGGTACAGAAT